TTGTATTTTGTATTTTAATAAGCATTTAAAATTTAGATTATTATAAAAAAGTATACAAAGTAAAAGTTGCTTAGCATTATTATATATGTTATTTTTATTAATAAACTTTTTACTATTTTATATAAAGTAAAACTTAAGAAAATATATTTATTAATATATCACTTCTAATACTTAATATTTTTTTTTTCTCTTTTACTATCTTAAACAACATTTTGCCTCGCAGTCTTCATTATTATTACTAGCAATAATATAAAATTTATTAATAAAAACATTTATACTTAATATTTTTCTGTGTTTATTATTAATTATACACTGCTTTTGCTTAGCAATCTTCAATATTATTATTACTAGTATTAATAATGTTACCAATAATTTAAAAGTTTATATCCTAAATTTATCAATAAAAACTTTAAATATTTAATATTTTTCTTTTTCTTTTTTGTTATTTATACATACCATTTGCTTAGTCTTCATTATTATTGGTATTATTATTATTAATCATTATTATTATTGCATGAAATATAATATTTCTTACTTATGTTAAATTAAAAATAAGAATTTTCTAAGGAATAATATTTTAAATATTATTGTTATAAAGAAGTAAAACAAACTAAAGATAATTCCATTATTTATTACTATGATGTTATTATAGTGAGTATTGATAAACTTCTCATTCTAGATTTGTTATAAAGTTTTTAAGAAGTCTTTTATTATTATATTTGACTTCAGTTTATTTAAAAATTAAAAAATATAATCATTATTTTTCTAAAAATTTTAGAAAGTAAATATTTTATAAATTCATATAAAAAATATATTTCTGGTTTATAAATTATATAAACTACAACTTTTATAAAGTAATAAAACAATATTTTTGTTTTCTAAAAAAGTTTTAAGAATTTTTAATTTTGTACAATATTTAAAGTAAAAAAAATTAATTAATTAAAAAACACATAAAAGTTTTCAGTTTCACTTATAAATCACTTTTATAACTTAAAAAAAAAAACTCAAGCAAGAAATAAATTTAAAAATCGAAAAAGCAAATTCTAGCAAGTAATAAATTTAAGGTAATGAAAAATTATTACAACTGTTTAGTAAATGAGTTAAAAAGATTGTTTTGAAATAAAAACTTCTGCTTAAAAAAAATTACGAAACAGAAACTCTTCTTTATTGGAGTCTTGAAATAATAATTATATAAAATTAAAACCAATTTAAAAATCTTAAAACTGATGCTTAAAATATTTTATTATAATTCGAAAGTTTGCTCAACGAAAAGCAATAACAACAATTTTTTTAACCAATTATAAATTTTAAAATTCAATTTGTGTATTTTTTATTTAATTTATACTGAGAAAATTTCATCTATCAATTTTATTTATTAAGTTTTATTTAGCAAAATCTGTACATAACTTTATTTTTCCTCTAAAATTGTCGGATCTACAGTAGTAAAAAAATTCTCTATAAAGCTTGTAAAGATAATTATAATAATTTAAAACATGAAAAAACATGCAAAAATTTAGTTTAAGTAATTGGTAAAAAATAGTCATTATTATTATTAATATAATCAATTGCTTAGCGAATTATATACGTAAATAAAACATAATAAATTACAAAAATCTAATAAATGTAGAGTAATAAATTAATTTCAAAAGGCAAGACTATAAATCTAGTAAAGTAAGATTCTTAACCATTAAAGATAATGGAAATAAAATACTTGCAGCTTAAAGGATCAAATCCAAGCAAACAGTAAGTATTTTCTTGTTCTCGGCAAACGAGCTCCAAGCGTAAATATGAAGAATCTTTAATCCAAAAAAACATTTAAGTTGAAGTGATTCTAAATATAAGGAAGTAAACCGACACAAAAAAAAAGGTATTAAAAATTATAATTAAGAATAGCAACACAAATAACTTGAAGTATTATATATATATACATATATATGTTAAACAACAATAATAAATAAAATATTTATAATAAAATTAAAGTAAAAACTTCTTTTTAAACGAAAAACGGGCAACTCGCATAATAGCTTTTGAAAACGTTCAAAATTAAACAGCCAAAATTGAAGAAAATAGTTTTCATCACGAAATCTATAAGCAACTTATAACATTGTATAATAATAATTTAGTACACAAAATCTAGCAAAATTGAACAAAAGAGTTTTCAGTATGGAATCTATAAGCAACTAAAAGGAATTTAAAGATAAGTTAGTGCACAAAATATAAAAAGAGTAACTTAAAAGTTCCGGTTGTGAAAGAGAAAAGGACAAATAAATGGAGCCTGAGAAATCTATGTTGTCCATATTCATTGTATTTTCCAACTTATACTGTAAACGTTTTGGAATGGGAGAAAAAGTTTTTTTTAACCATTGGAAGCTAAAATAATAGTTAAATTGTGCGTAAAAGTAATTTTTGTGTCAGTAAATTATTCATACTTTAATTTTGATCCTATGACCTCCCGTTTTATTAAAAAATTAAACAACTTTTGTTCCTTGCCTATATTTCTAAGGTTCATTTAGGAATCACAATAAAAATATATCCCATAATACGAAGCAAAACTAAACTTTTTTTTTTCTTTTTACTAAGTTTTTTGAGGTTTACTTAACTTAAGATTTCACGAATTATAAGCATAAACGTTTTGCAAAAGATAAAACCGACGAAATATTAGTGAAGTAAAAGCGAATACTACGGAAGAGATTTAGCAAACCTATACCATAATATAAAAATTAGCAACTCTTATTTAATGTTAAAAAGCATAAATCGAACTGCTTGGCAATAAACTAAATATTATATATATTAAATACCCACTTTTAAAAGTAATGGTGCAAATAATAGACACTACAATGTCAAGAAAGGAAAAATTCTAGGTAAAAATATTTATAACTTTTCTCTATTATATTAGTTTCAAACGAAAGCCGAGATCAATTCGTTATAGTAAAGAAAGTTTCTGTAAAACTAGTATCTTTTCTTTTGTTAAAAAGAATTCTGGTGCTGATACTAAGTGTCATGCTAGTATTAATATTGGTATTAGTGTTAGTAAACTATCTTCTCTCCGACCTAAATTAGGCTAGAAAGCGGTTAATGTAAGTAGCATACCTATTCGGTACCTTAGCTAAGTTTCAGGTTGTGCTATTTTAACCAACTCTATATAAGTAAATCCAACTTTAATTTGTTGAATACCTTAATGAATTTAAAAAATAGTTAAAAAAAGTTATTAAATTTCTATAAAAACTAAACTCATAGTCTACGTATATGTAAAACTAGGGGGAAAAAATTAATTAAGAATAATATATCTAACAATTATTAAAGAAAATCGCGGGTCTCATTTATTAATAGTTATTCGTATAATATTTATTTTTTTTAGTGCAATTTCATAGTAACTTAAAAAATAATTACATAACCAGAGTAATATAAGGTAATTATAATTCTCCTTTTTAAAGATATTACATAAACATATATGATGTATACCAAGAGACGACTTTAAAGTAAAATTTAAATTAACACAACACTTTACAAAGTGAGAATTGAAAGCTACTATACTTTTTCATTAAGCAAATTTTTTTCTTATTTTTTTTTTCTGATTGTGTTAAATGGATTGATGACTTGGAAAGAAACTTAAAGATTAAAGCGCTTCTCATCACCTCAAACTGAAGGTGAAAGATATTATAATTTGAAATTTTCCACTGTAGACGATCAAGCTGACAATGAAGTGCCTGACTGGTAGCATTTCGCGAGGTTGTTTAAAGAACTTTGTTTCTCTTTTGCTTTTATTGCTCACCAGTGCACAACCGTTACTGTCAATTTAGCTATAAGAAAATAGGCTTAAACAAAATTATTCAAGAGCTGAAAAGATTCTCATTAGCTTTTAGTGTGCTGTTTTTATAATTAGAGACCTTTAGAAACCCATTTTAAGCTTTATATCATGGCTACTGCTTATAATTACAACGTTAATATAGTCAATTTAAACTATTGCTTTCAGCAATATATCATACGGTACATACAATCCCTGAGACATAAATAATGTTTACACTTTTTAAGTTATTGCATTCAATGGTGTCGACCATCTCAAAGATTTAGGAAGGATAAATTTTTTGCTCATATTAGTGATGCTTTCGCTATAATTAAGTCAAAAGATTGTGTACAATTGAACCATTAAGTTCTAATTTAAACAAATTGAATTTATGAACTCATCAAGATAGTTCATCATATGTAAAAAGATACTTTTTTTGTTGCTCCTGGAAGAAATGACTTTATACTATTTGGTGATGTGACTATTATCAATTTAGCCTTCGAAAACCTTAAAGTTGTTTAACCTATTCTTCTCAGTTTACTAAGTAAATATTAAGTATAATTAGACCTTTAGAAGATCTCTTGCAAGTTTTTCAATCGAAATCTGTACTAATAAGGTCTTACTAATGAAAACTGTCCGAACTATAGCTGCGTATATTTCTAGACTTCAAATAGTTTGTTCCTTCGAGGCTTTTAGCTGGCTTTATATACTTAATTTATTAACGAGTATTTCGAAAAGTTAAAATTGTTTGAAATACAATAAAGATAACTCTAGAGGTTCTCATGTTAGATTCTAGTATAAGCAAGTTGCATCACCTATTATACAATACTTGAAAAAAAAAAACTCTTTTAAGTAGCATTGTAAGAGAATAAATAAGCTATACTATAACGAAATCGTAAGCCTCTTTACAGTTAAATTTGGGAATCTATTAAGTGTATGAAGATCTAACTGTAGAAAATTTTTATATTCTTTGAAAAGAGAATAATTTTAGGGCGACCGTTTTAAATCATGTAATAAGTAAACAGATCAAGCTGCTACAAAAACCCTTCTAACCCCTAAACGCGTGCGACTGCAAAAATTGCGCACCATTGACCTAATCGTGGCACTGGCGACCATGTTTAAAGTTGTATATTAACATTATCAATAATTCTCTAAACTGTCTGTCAGTCTCATGGTAAATTTTAAATAAATGCTATTTTTCAGCAAGAACACATACGTTACAAGATGGTGCTATTTTTACAGTCTTAAAGCAAAGCAGAAGGAATTGATTTTTGATCTTTTTAAGGTATACATTTAAAAGCTAAAATATTTAAGTATTTTTTATTTCACTTATAATATTTTTTTGTTTTCCAAGGTCTCTTCTTTTAAAAAAGAAACGGCCGTGAAAGTGGTTGATCTTAAATCTGAAAAGAGCGAACCACTTCCTTCAAAGAGTAAGAACTATGCTTTTACTTTTTTTATTTATATTTTTATACTTTACTTTATTACTTATATATTTTCATTTTATTTCCGTAATAATAAATTTAAGTTTACTAATAACATTCAGTTTCTTCATCTCTTTATGTAAAGCGGGATATTTCAGATTCTAGAGAAATGAGTGGAGGTATAAAAATTAAACCTAAAGACTTTAGCCAGTCCAAAATAGAGTCACGTACGAATATTCCTAATATTATCTTAACTTTTTTTTAATTTATTCCTAAACAAGAGCCATTCTCTGGTGAAACCAAATTAAAAAGTGGCATAAAGATGGATAATCTTTTCGCTGTAAACAAACAACCAGCTTTTGATATTGGTCAGAATTCAGCTAAGCAAAAAAGTTTACAAAACTATAACACTGCCTATAAAGAGATGCCCTCGACCGTTTCAAAGGAACGCAAATACGGCTTTGACATGATCAGAGCATACCAACTACTGAAGCAAAAGAACAAATTAAAAAAAAATGCAGAGCAGACAGAAAAAAAAAAAACCACCGGCTATTGTATACCCAATCTCGTTAGAAAAGCAGAGAAAGATGTACCGAAACAAATTCCGATTCAATCTCATAAACTTGAAGAAAAGGCGATTCTTGATAATTCGGGTTTTAATTACTAGTTTTTTAACTTTTTTTTTTTAAACTTTTTTTTGATAATTTATTGCGGTTAAAGAGATTGTCACCGAATCTCGTCTAAATATATTCAAGCAAGAGGTTTTATTTAGCGATCATGGAAACACTAGACAGTTTTTTTATAATGTAATTGACTCGTATGCTTATAAAATTTAATAATACTAATAAAATTGTAACAGAAATTTCGAGATGATTATAACTTAAAAAGCAAAATGGGGTTTCTTCTTACTTCTTTTTAAGTTATCAATTTTTTTACTTTTATTTAAAAGACAGCTCGAATTTAATGATCAAAAGGACAATCTTTCGGTAAACTTTCAGTTACTCAATACAAGCTATACCTCCACAGCCTACGAAAAAATAGAGATCGATCCAGTAAAAATTTTTTTAAAATTTAAATCTAAATTAGGGTACTTAAAATCTTCAAGGCATTTCTGTATGAAACTATCAAAAACAAACTTTGGCGGGACCGCATCAATATTGGAGATGTCAAGAATCCTAGAGACTGGCGATACTCCATCGAAAATTTCGTTAAGGCGCTCGCCAAGGTTTTGTAAGATCGACGTAAACTTGCTTCCCGCCTCTAAATATATTTCTTTCAGTATACAGATCCAGATTTAAACCACATGGAGTATCTCCAACGGATCAAGATCATAAACAATGTCCAGGCGGCTTACACAGCGCTTCCCGAATTTTCCAAGCACAACGCTGTTATCGCCCCAGCACAGGTGGCAATTAACTTTTTTATGCAATTTCAACAGCGCACTTAATTTTTTTTTAGGTCAATCGCTACCTAGACGCCGTAGAAAATAGTTTAAAAAGATATAAAGAAATAATCTAAGTGAGTAACTACGTGTAAAAAGTGAATATAAATTATAAAGGCAGTATTTGGATATTGCTCGAACCTTTAAGATAGACGAGATAGATTAATTCAACTCGAGGAAAATTCGAATTCCAAACAAATTAAGCATTTTGATATAAAAAAGGTAATAACGCGGAAGCTACCGTAAAAATAAAAAAAAAAACTTAAAATAAAGTATATTCTTTATTCTCTTTGTATTAAAAAAATAAAGTAGAGATTACTGCATTCTCTTAAAAAAAACCAAAAAAGTCAAGCCTTAAGGTACAAAATCAGTACATTTAAGACCAATTTTGTTAAAAAATTGTTCGATTTTGCCTTCATAGCAATCAATAGTAGAGAGCGGAATACCTTGTAAATCCTTTAAACGAATTAAAAATTATTTTTTAAATCTTAACGAAAAGTACTTCTGCAAGGTTTAATTCTTCAATAACTTCAAAAGGTTTAACTACACCATCAAACTGCGCAAAATCCGTCGCATCAGGCTTTACATTTTTAAAAGTGCTACAAAGGAACATTACTAATTTATTTAAACCAAAAATGTAAAGTTTAAACCTAATTAAACCTTTTAATCTTCCAATTTTATAAGCTTTTGAAAAACCATCTTTAAAGCCAGCGTCGAAAGATAACTGTAAAACAGACTCTTCTCCTTTTATTAAACCATCAGTAAATCCTTCCTTTTATTAGAATTCGATAAAAATCTCAGCGTTAACAAAGGAATTAATGATGTAGAACTTCACGACTACACTAAAAATTATAAAGTAATTTAAAATTGAATTAATTAACTGCTTCCCGTCTCAGAGCTTCTGACCTTAATTCATTCTCGGCTAAATATTTCTCTAAATAATAGTCCTCTTCGCTTTCCTCCATTAGCTAACAAAAGCCAAAAACTCAACAGCTAACCAATATAAAATGAGTTGGTCACAAATTTTTTAGCATGTATATAAAACTTCAAAATTAAAATGTTATGTATTACTTAACCCTCGACTTCTGTGCAAAATGCACACCGCGTGTTAGCAACCATCTATAAGTTATCCCTGCCTCTAAATATCAACGTTAGCACTGCTTATTAACTTTTTTCTTTATGTCAGCCTTATTTCTTTAGTATTATTTGTACTTTATTCAATATAACTAAAAACTCGGCCATGCCCCACTTGTATACCGTGCCGGCTTTGAAACATAGCGTAACTAGTACTGAAAAATGGTTTGCAAGGAGGGAGTTTAATAAAGTATTCGTTATGTTATCATACTTTTCGTTTTAATTCTTTGTTAATTTAATTTAATTTAGATAGTCAAAAGTTATATGTTTCTAAGCCTGTTGCTACCATTTTTGATATGGCCAGTAGCCGTCATGGTGAATCTTAGTTGGATAAGTAATTATTGTTAATGTACTTACAGAATTAGTTTGTAGAATTGTTAATTGTTTAATTGATTGTAATTTTTAAGTTTTATAGAGGATTCATCTGTCTTTTCTAACATAAAATTCCTTCTTATATTAATTTTTTTTTAGTCGTACTGGTACACGGAGTTTTTTCGTTACTGTTCACAAGCCTTCTTTTATCTTCATATGTTTAATTTTTACTATATATTAAATGATCATCTAGATTTTTTCTCATTGGATTTTGTAAATCCAATCTTTGTGTTACTTATTATTCTCTTTTTCATGAACTTTTTTTCGCAACCAAAAATATTTGCAGGTATTTTAGTTTATAACACATTAATAGCTTGGGGATTTTTATATATCTTTTTTTATGTTACCTTTTTAATAGTTAGAAGAACCCCTTTTAAATCTAATTGGAATATCCTTCAGAGGTGATCCTCATTATCAAAAGTAATTATTTTATTATTTATGCGCTCTACGGTAGATTGCTGCAACCGAGTTACATTCTTAATATTATGCTTCATATATTTTTGGGTTACATCTTCACTTGGGTTTTATATTATACGGCCGGAACCTCCCACAAGTATAGATTTTACTTCTTTCTTTAATAATTTATACTTCATACACGAGAATTTTTAGAGGACACGTGTTTTTCGCCGAGTACTGCGGTAGTTTTTTTGCACTAGTTTATGCAATTCTGGCAGTAGTCAACGAGGAGGAAGTCCTTGTATTTCCAGTAGTAGAGGTTTGCTTACCTTTATTTTTTTAAGCTTTAATGTCGAGTAACGCCAAGCACTGGACAGGAGGAATGGCACTTTTTTTTAAAATCCCGTCACCGTCAGCATCTGTATAAGTCTACGCTCTACGCCACGTGTTCTGTTCTAGCCTTCTTTTTTCTCGTTTATCCCTACGCTGAAATGTATGTGCTTTCTTTATAGTGAAATTTGCACCACTATTTTCGCATAATAATAGTAATAGCTACAAACTTTATGGACTAATACTATTTTTTTTATGCATCACGCGGTAAGGAAAGTGAGCTTCTTAGCGCTGTTGTATCAATGCTTGGTTGTCAACTTCTCATTGGGCTATTTGCTATGTGTGCGACAGGCCCTCTTTTCTCACTTCATGGCTCAAGTATATTAAAGAATTTTTTAAAAAAACTTCTTATTGGCGCTTGCCTTCCTAAAGAGGATTGGCATTAGTGAGTCACTGCATTACAGTAGCAATGACTGGACGGTGAGCGAGGCTGTCACGAGTAAAAATCATCTTACAAGGGTTGTTCATTATGCTTTCTATTATCAATAATTCAGCAGTTATTATATTTAAAGCCTTTATTTGTTACTTCCGTCTATCAACGGTAATATTTAAATAAAGTTTCTGGCCTATTTGTACATCAAAGATGCCTCGTATTACGGGCTGGACGCTTCTTTCTTTCATGTAAGTCAAGTGCCCAATTAACTTTTATACACTAAAAAATTTACTATTTACTGAAGGAAATTAACCAATCCAAAATCATTAACTTTGCCTTGACACTTTGTTTGGGTACGCTTTATTCCTTTTTACTGCCCTATTATTGGTTCGCTTATAGACTTCATATCCAATTAGATCTCATTGAAGAGCTTGCTTTCTCGCTGAGGGACTTTCGCGCCGGGGCGCACACCCACTCGGGGGCCCTTCCAGCCTACTCTCCTGTTTTACGAGTTTTCAATAAAAAGCCTAAAGATTGTTATAGCGAACGAATTAAGCTTTGGGCCTTTTGCCTTTTTACTTCTATAAAGTCCTTACATGCCTTGCGTTGCCCATTGGCTACTTATCTTTTCTCATTTGCCCATAGAAAAGGGCTGCAGGAAAGAATCGGTTTGCTATTGGTCAACTTTGGTAGCTGGATTCTTCATGGCACAGCCCCCCCCGTGCGTTTTTCCACTTGTTAAAAAAGGGGCTTATCACATGTTAATTTTCCAGTACCAACAGCAGCAGCAGCGACCACCTACCAGCCAAGCGCCCTATCCCTGCCCTCCAAATATGGCGTTTCCCTATGAAACCTTTCATTTTCGTTTGAAGCCACCTATTAAGTATTTTTTTTTCTACTTAATTGCTCTGTCTTAAGACATATTATCCCTATTAGTGCTTATAATGAGCACATGCTTATGAAGAACCAAAACGTACTTTACTAAATTCGGCCGTGAAGGACCACGACATAATATTGATAATAGGCAGAGCTGGAAAGGAAGAAGAATAACCTCTATGTACCCTTCGATTCAGTAGAAACCCCACTGCTCCGGATGCTTCTAGGTGAGCTGCCCGAGTACAAGCGCGCCTCCCTGTTTACCAATTGGCAGATCATCACGTGGTCTACACAAGGTGTTTTTTTTTACAATTCACTCATTTATACTTTTCAACTGCTTATGGGGCCGCATTGCTATTATTGCAGCCGTCTCCTCTCTGATTATAAGCGCCCTGCAAAACGCACCTCTTCAAAACATGCAGCCGTTTACAAAGGACAACGAATCACGTGCCTTTACTGTTCTTCTGGTACTGTGATAGGTCCCCTCTTTAGTATGGAGTACATTAACTCACATTGCATGGCAAGTCTACTACTAAGGAAGTTGAGGAGTTTATATTCCAGCACGAGCATGCAACAGGTCCAAACAATACTGCCTCTGCATTGAAGAGTTGTCTATGGCTGTATCTCCTGCTACTAGTGGGTTTGCTCCCTTTAGTATTTGCTTACACATCGGACTGCACTAACAATGTTCGTATTGGTAGTAACTCATGTGTGTTGTTTCTGTATTGGCGAGTCATCTCTGTGGACGCCAGAGTGGCTGCTTCTCTTCTCCTGCACCATTTGTTTGGCTCTTTGTGTCTGTTTCCTGCGGGCTTTGATGCCCGCGTGTCATGTTCAAGGAGAAAAGGCCGTTCTCAGGGGTATTTCCGGCTCTGCCAAATCACGTGGTTTTACAATTACTTGTTAATAACAATGTGGTAGAGCTGAAAACGGCGATATACAACTTAACAATTCAATATGGGCCATCCGTCAAGTTTGTGCAATGCGGTCACGTGGACATGCTTAAAAATTTCATAACTTTTAAAGAATAGAAAACGATAGCCAATAAATATTAAGCTTTATTTTAGTTACAAATGAAACTAAGTATAGCGACCCGATACTTTCATGCGCAACACATTGGCACGAATAGCGTAATAGAGTATCACTACAGCAGCCACCGACACGCACGTGGCCACTCGGAGTTTTTCTTTCAAAGATAACGTTCTTTCCTTATTCTGCGTGTTAGCGGTATTTGTAGAATGATTAAAAAAAGTCAGTTTCAAACTTACCGAGCCGCCTCCGTAGGAAGAGTCAGAGTCGTAGGAACTTAACCTTGAAAAAAAATTATAATTTACGACCGCCGGCAGCAAAGCAGCTGTAAACCGCGTGTCATCGTCCTCAGGATACTCGAGAGCTTGATCCACCAATGATAAACCAGGTACAGCTTCTAACGGGATAGCTGAGCGAAACGACTGCCCCAGCACCAACTTATCGGGTACTTCACTAGTAGAGAAAAAAGTCCGGTGCACAGTCTCGACCAAGCGAAGAAGGCTTTGACGTTCGCGGATGATCGTCTACACGATCTTTTAAAAGAAAATCGCACCAAAGCAACGCACTTACAAACAAATGCGTGTCTCTGAAGGCGGGATGCTTCTCAATAAACCAAAAGTACCCGTACAAAAACGCATCTAAGCTGGTCGCTCTGTAATTAACTTTTTCACATAGTAATAATTTAAAATGATAGATCTGCCTATACGTCGTTCCAAAAAAATACGAGTCCCCTAAAGAATTTTGGCGACTGGTTTCTTCAAAGTAAAATTTTTCTAAATCGTCTAAACACATAATTAGTTGATTCCTAATCTATAAAGTTTTATATATAAAAAGTGTTTTGTGAGAAGTATTTTATAATAACTGATTCCCAAGACGTAATGTTTTGAATATCGCCAGCAGCGCCAAGAGGAATCTGAAAATTCAGAAGAGATTTTTTAGAAGACAACTTTCCTAAAGTATAAATTCTTACTAAATTACCAAGAAAAAATCTCTAAAAATACTCACCTTCCTTATGGCTATCACAGACATGTTCCGATGTAAACATGTTGGGATAAACTACTTTAGAAACATTAAATTTTATGAATATACATCTTTTGAGAAGAAGAATTCAAAAGTAATATATATAAAAACAAATTCTTCAATAAACAATACGACTAAAAAAAGGGGAAAATAGATTTTTTTCAAGGGCAATAAAAGTAATACAATTACTACTCGAGCTGTACAGAAAAGTTTTCAAATGAAATTCCCTTAGAGAATGGGGAAAAAACAAGGAAAGGGGAAAAGGAAGCCTCGCCGACAGCCAGCGACTAACGGAGTTATAACCTTGCTTATCATACATAAAATAATAAACCTACAAAGAATATAAAAATGGACAATAATAATACGAGGCTATTAAAAAGTAACCATTGCGGGGGTGATACTTTGCAAAAAGTACGTTTCTATTGCATAACTTAAAGAATAATCCCCACCAAAACCCTAAAACAAGTGAAAAGAGTAAACATCTCAAAGCAACAATAGAAGAGAAAAGTAAAACAAATTACACAACCTTCCTAAAAACTTTTAAAAGCAAATACCAATTCCCTCAAATAATGCATAATTTGCTCAACACCACCTACCAAGCTCCCCTTGTGTCTCATGAAAGGAAGTTTACCTGTGTAATAATGAAGGTATGTAACAAAAAAGGGGGGAAAAGTTAAAACCTGATGGTGATAGTAAGGGATTTCTGCAAGGATATATAACAATGGGTATGGCTTTAATAAGGCAATAACTTACAACAGATAAACAATCGTAGTCGCAGCTAAACAACCCAAAATCACCTTCCCACACGTAAAGTTCAGGGATGGAAACCATCAAATAAACTTAAAAAACTACAAATATATTCTATCTATAGACCAAAAGAATAGTAAAAGACACCACTTAAATTAATACAACTATTAGCTCTATACAGAGGTAATGTTTGAAATCGAGAAGTACGCCTTCCTTTACTCAAAAAGAAGATTTTAAAGCTTTTAACTTTTTATGGGTCGGTGAAATGTCACGCGGCAAAACGTCACATGGTTTACTCTTGAATAGAGGCGAATACCCCTTTTTGTACAATATTTTTTGTAAAGTACATCCTCCTATTTCTATTAGAACTTTTAATAGTCAATGAGTAAAGTTAACAAGTCGCATAAAATAAACTTACTTCAGAAGGAATTATTGACAGCTCGTAAGAATGCGAATTCATTGCTTGAACTTTTGACTTATTGTGAAGTAAAATACATTTTGCGTTTTTACTTACTACGCACTATTATTAAAAAAAAACTTTTTATAATAGGATCCATGCGAAAATGTTGTTTTTAGTGCTTTCACTTCTCTTCACAAAGTTTTTAAGTCTTATATAACTGAGGGCGATTTGCTCCTTATACCCTCAGCAACGAGTATACAATGTTTATTATTTAGTAAAATTAGGAGAATTAATTTTTTGGAGTAAAGTAGATTCCACTCCCCTAACAATTTATAGGAAATGGCTTTATGAAATGTATTTAAACTTTATTAAGATTTCCTTAAGAGTTATGAAATTTACTTCTGAAGAAAAGATCCAAGTTTAATTAGCTTATATATATAGCTATATATCCACTTGTAATTTAAAATGGAAAGATCGTCATTTTGAGGATTTTGATGCAATTTGTTGATGTTGAAGCCCAATCTCTATTAAATTCCAGCAACCACTTTTTTCCAAATATTTTATTTCGGAGAATTATATATACTCTATTGGTACGTTTTTAATTGTACTAGTAGTTCTGGACATTCTTTATATTATATTTTAGACACTTAAGCATTATAATCAAGGATTAATAAGTGAATTCGTTACTACTTACCTTCTAGAATTTGACGACATACGCTACTACACCTACAAAAACTTGACGTTCGCTTTATTTATTTAAATGTTTTATTCTTCTCTTTAATCTTTAAATTTTATAGAACCTTTATTAAAAAGAGATCGCAGTCCGTTCGCCAAGTATATATATAATGAATAATATTGGCTACTCTATTTTAATTTTTATACTATTATATCTGTGTATAATTATTATAGAAGTCTAAAATATGTGAATCTGAATTATCCACTCGAATTTTTGACTTGATCTCTTCAGTATGTTTTCCACGTGTTCCCTCCGAGTTAAACGCTTACTATGCTCCTATTGAAACCGGTATTATTTGTAAATTCATATATAAATTAATTTTTAATTATGCTTGTGGGGCCGCTTAGAGTATACTGCCAAAACTGTTATTACTAAAACTCGGAAGCTTTTGGAACAAGAGGCGGATATTGTTTCTCTTTCTGCTCATCGCAAAGTCTTCAGGTAAAATATTTTTATTAATTTTTAAATTAATTTAATTTATGTAGACTGCCCGTTTTTCAGCCACTTTTGGTTGTCGTTCTTGCGGCAACTACTTCCCCTACGCGTGTACAAACGGGTTTTATTAATGCTTGAAAAGTCCATCATCCCTTTTCTAAACAAGCCACGCCTACTGATCGATTTTCTAACGGAATCGTACGATAAGGGTCAGCAAATCAGATATGATTTATTCGCATCGACTTCAATGCGTTCACGCACATAATAGGCGGTGTTTACAGCCTTCTATCCCTTAGCGGTCTTTACGTACTGATCACTAAATACGACCTGTAAACTTCTTTTTTTTTTTTTTTGGAGTTTATTGGATTATATTTTTTAAGGGATTATAACGATTTTTATAAGAAACTTTACTCGCTTCTTGATCATCAACTTTTTTTTATGAAGCATCGTCACCGTTTCTTAGCGTTAATGGATCAATGCTTGTCTTCGCCTCTCCTTTCAGCTTCCCTGGTGGCCGCCTTCATAAAGCGTCTCTGCCGCTTAGCTCTCCGTGCTCCTCTCTCTGGCGTGGCCGTGATTCTGCCCCTAATTTACAATCTTCTTCGGCGGCACCCTAACACGTTGCCGATGATCCACCGCTATAAATCTGCAGGTGCTATAAAACTTAAGCTACGTTGTTTTTCTTCATTTTTTTTTTTAAGGGGAAGACTGTTATGACTATCAAGAAGTCGATCCAGAACGTTCATTGGCAATTGAGAGTAGTTTATGGGAGCTGGACGCTCTGATGAACGTAATTTTATTAGATAATCAATAGTAATTCTATATAATTTTGACAATTTTTTTAGCATTATGTTCCTTCGCTCTCAAAGTTTGCTGCGTCCTTTAAGGAGCCGTTCGGTGTCGCTGATTATAAAATTGGAGAGTTTCTTAATCATGACTATACAAAGGTTAATCTATACCTTTATTAAGGAAACCGGCTATCCGTGAACTTGAACTTAAATTTTACTTTAGATTATTGAAGAAGAACTTAAAAAGAAAGTAAAGAGTGTGCCTTTGGAGTTTAGCACGCCATCTGGGTTATTAACACCAGCAATGCCCATGTGGACTTTAGACTGATTTGTGATAGCAACTGCCATGCAGCTTTTTTGGCCTTACGTAGCAATTCCCAAGACCTTAATTAAAAATATTTACTCAAAATCTTTTTATATTTTGCTTCTCGGCCATTGCCGTGCTGCGCTTGTTTAGTAAAATTTTTTATTACTCCTTCAACTTTTATCATATTTGCGGAGTTTACTGTTTGGCGATATAAAAATAGTTCAAGTTAACATTAGACGAGCGAATTTTCTTTGCTAATTAAAACTCACATAAAACAATACGGCTTTTAAGCGACTCTTTTTTAAATAGAGATGCTTCTATTTTACACGTTAATAAAGTATATACTAGTAAATTACACAACTGTATCTCTCTCTACCTAGTTTTATGCTATTACGGCCACCATTTATGAGAAGTAAGCACTGTTTAGTTAGTCAAAACTAGTTTCACAAGCACCCAGCTAGACCTAGTTAATAAGTGCAGTGGTTAACCAACTTGGTCAGTGAGCACTACTCATAAAGTTAGGTTATGGCATAGAGCATAACCCATAGTTAGCATCTAGATACAACGCCAACAGTGTTATTCAATAACACTCAAACGAGTAACCCTCTTCTCCCGAATGGTCTAAGAGTTAGCTCCTAAGAATTATGAGAGTACGTTAGAAGCTTTCATTCGCGCCTATTCACTTAGTAACGCAGATGGTACTCGCACTTAGCCCACACCTACACAGGGCACAGGTCAGAAGTTGACAGAGTTGAATCACTATAATCAAAAAAACGTGATTTTTTTTTGAAAAATGTCCTGAACGAACAATTTTTTGCTCTGTCCTTAAATTACATATATACAGGGATGTAACGCTTAATAAACCCTAAAGATGTCGATGGTAAACGCACGAAGCGACCTCTATCGGTGGTGTTAGCGCATATATCGAGGTGCGATCGACAGAAGCTGTTGGAATTAAAGACGGTTTTCTAACTTCAGGTTACGGTGGAAAGAGATCCGAAAGAGTAATCGAGCCGGAGTGCTACCGCTGTCAGGTATTTGGACAGCGCAACTTTCTGCTCTGCAATCTCCCCGCCCCCATGCGTTAAATGTGGCGAGGAACACTTGACTGCACAGTGCACAAAAGCACGAGGAAGCCCTGCCAGTTATGCTAACTGTGGTGAAGAGCTCACTGCCAATTATCCTGACTGCTGACATTGTCCGAGAAGACTTACAAAAGCCAATGAAACTGCTCCACCAATACCTCAAACAGGCCCCTATAATAACCCTGACAATCTCGTATTATGCTTGCTTGGTCACAAAGACAACAAAGACAAACCTCCCCCCCCACCCCATCCACAACCGCGAACAAGACTTCCACAACCGCTTTCCTTATTGAAGACAAACCTTTCACCAATGGTAGAAATGGTAAAGTGTCTGGAATCTGTTTGCAATGGTTTTAACTACAAGCGTTTCGTCATATCCATCTTCTGTTCTGGAACGCAGATGGTGTTTTGCACGGGAACAAGAATTGCAGGAATTGACGCTACGCGAAAGAATTGATCTGTGTGTTTATAGTGGAAGTCATCCTCTTAACCGTTCAACTCTGAAATTTTTCTACGTATCACCAGGATCACCTTG